AATCAACATTTTTGTTGGGGAGAATACATGCTGATAAGCGAATACTAGGTCGTATTTCTACTGATGTTGAATATAAATTGTTTCTTTACACATCCAAATTCTTTACCATAACCCTACCAAATGTCCTGTAGTATACTGCAGAGTTGCTATGTTTTCAAAATACATTTTCAAATGCCAAGCATTAAACAAGGAATATAAAATTTACTCACAAATTTTCCAAAAAGAGATTTAATAAAAAATATAGTATCTTTGCACTAAGAATCATTGGGTTCAATTATAGATAAAGGAGAAATAAATGAAAGAATCGTATTAGGTTAATGTAATTAATGGTCAGTACCATAAAAAAGCGAAGATTTTAGAAATGAGAGGACACATCAGAATGTTGGTAAATCTACATGGTAACTTTTCTTTCTTACTGGCAAAAATCTTTTATTGTATCGTCCATATTTGCTTAGACCTGAATAACAGGAAAGGAATTGTTAAGAAAATTGGGGCAAATATGTCTTAAGTCTGAATTGGTATACAAAATTATTTTCAGAATTAATATTCACTTGTCACTCCAAAACATTCTTGACGGCCATGATTCTTCATACATATCACTTTCAACAATATTCACAGCACACTTCAACAGGAATTAATGTCTATTTTCCGCACAACCCAGTTGTTTACCAACAACTAAACTGCAGGCTGTCGTCACTTCTTTTTTAACTGACTAACAATCCACTCAAGGCCCTGGTAGAGACTAGAAAAGAAACAGAAAATTAATATATATATTCTTAAAACAACAACAAGAAACTTTATTCTATCTTCAGTGATCTTGAAACCTACCCTTCTCCAGTAAGAGCACAACAGGACTGTATTTGCCACTGATGTTTCTTTATGGAAGTAAGATCTAATTGTTTACTAATCTCAGCTGCTGTCATAGAGCCCTTTAAATCTTGTTTATTAGCGTATATAAGTACAGCAGCTTTAGACAATTCTTCGTGAGCTAACATTCGATACAGTTCTTCTTTTGTCACAGCTAAACGCTCTCGATCAGTTGAGTCAATAACCACAATTACAAACTGAAATTAATACTAAATGTTAAATATAAAATCAAAACGCATTACAAATGCTAATCCAAAAAAACATCCCCATATATCTCTTTTAGGTTACATCACTCTTTGCAATAGATAAAGTAACGTAAGACTTTATGTATATGACATATGACAACAAAATTAATACTTTTAAGACTTACCAGAAGGAAATAAGACATATTTTATACATTTATTTTAGCACTCCCGCTTCCAGCTCTACTTCGCCCCCCATTCCTCACACCAAAAAGTTTATAAAATAGCAAGTGAACTTGAAGATCTGTACACACTACTACCCAAGCCAAAAATGTTTTACGAACACAGCACTCAGATGAACACATTAATCACACATACATGAAGAGAAATTATAGAAAATTATTAATATTTTTTGTTTCAGCCTTCACGATGGTCTATTTTAGGTACTTGCTCAAAAAGTTTCCTGCAAGACACCTCTATTTCATAATACCAAATCTGTACATTTTTTTAACACTTCTGTTAACACTATGCTTCGAAACTACATCCATTTGCATGTAAATTCTTCATCTAGTTCATATCAGCTTAATTTGCAGGCAGAATTCTCCAAACCTGATAAACATTGGTTGATAATATTTGCTAAGAAACTAATGTTATGTTGGAAAATATAATTCCAATGTTTTCCTCATTCAAATGCTCCTTAATAGTATTTAGATCATCACTTTTGAGAATCTCTCCAAGTGAAAACCTGTTGTTGAGGCCGTGCACACCTTCATTCTTCCAACTACTTCCATACGATCTCATTCTACACTTCATTCTGCATCACTTTTTCTTAATTTTGACATTTATGTTTTTATTTGTTTCTTTGAATTATTTCTATTTTGTGATCAATTAAAATCCTCCCACCGGGATCTCCATCTACACTGAGAGCCCAATGCCCCCCCCCCGCTTGGTTACAGGATTTTCATTTTGGTGACAATCTAGATCGAAAATCGATTAAAATATCTCTCCATATAAAAGAAATATAATATATTATATTGAGAAATTAAGAGTAGTAAATCCTAAACATACTTTACTTTTCATTAAAATAGTTCTTGTAATTCAGATCAGATATAATTATAAATACTATTCAACAACTGAATTAATTGAATGTAAATGGTACTTAGTAGCAAAACAGTGTGTTGTCTGTAACCATTTAGTTTAAATCTCAACTCACACCAAAACATTCAAATAATAAATTAAAGACAAAGGAAAATGAAATGGTTTTGTATAGCAAACTGTAGTCTGTATTCTTGAGCATATTTTTTTATTAATAATTATGCACTGAGCTGCCGTAATTAAATAATAAGTATTATTTTAAAACCCTAGTTAATTAGGCCTTTTGCATAAAAAATAATTTCAGAGCATGTTTGGAATGAAATTTTATTCTAATTGAAATTCCATGTTCTTCCTGGATATATATTTTTACAGCAGACTTCACTAGATACATTCTACCCCCCATTTAAAACCAAAATATAACAGACGTAACCAAACATTTGGTAAAGTACGGCTATGTAGAATATGGGATAGGAAACAAAAAATTTCAGAACAAAAATTGCAGAAGAGAAGAATCTGTCAGAAGAGAAACAATGAGCAAGAAGAGTATTCACAGAGGATGAAAGGACAAGAGTGATCCAGATAATGGAGTAATGGAGAAAGAAGCATAAGAAGATTGTGATAGTAGGATGTAGGCTCATAGTAGGATGAAACAAAATTAATTAATATGATATGCAAAGAGTTAAAACTTAAACAAACCTTAAAAATAGTTAACATATAAACACATATGAATGGTCTAAACAATGACAATAAAATATTAATGAATCTTGGTGTCGTTTGTATATCACTTTCCCATTTTTCCCTAATTATTGTACCTTATTTTACAAAAAAACATCAATTCACATCATTCAGCATAACTTGTGTATCAATCCCAAAATAATACATTACAGTAAGGGTTAGGGTCCATATTTATAGACAGATGAAATTTTTGTGATTTTAATATATTTTAGAATCTTTCTGAGCAACGATTTCGAGGATTAATGACCCCATCCTCAGGCTGTAAAATTGATTGTTGAAATTATAAAGTACAAAATTTAAAATTATTATCAATGCAATATTAAAATGGAGAAATTATGACACGTAAAAACTTACCAGACACATAAGAGCTCACAAAACAGATGGTTTGAACATTTACGTAATTGTCACTGGACTGACAAAATCAACTTCTTTACGTTGGTGAGAACAGTTGAAAGAATGAGTTCTGAGTCAGAGGATTTTAACACAAGAAAGGGGAGGGGGAAGGTTTTGAAAGTGGCAGAAACAAGGGGGGGCTATTTTTTTCAATGTTTGTTATCTATACAGCAAAGCATCATACATTTTTGAAAAATGATTATTCTCAATGGAAGAATTAATATAATTATTTATTTTAATCTGTAAAGTTACAGAAACTAATCATGGATATCTCTGGATCTCAATATCAAAGATTCTGGAATTTTGAAAATTGAAAGAGTAGTTGAACTTTATCCAATGTTTGGATACCAAGTTTTGTCTTTGAGGAATTTCTCTGATGTTCCTGTCATGTTTTTTCACTCCAGTTAGAACTTTACGACTAGTTTGTCCTTCACAATCATTGCATTCAATACCATATACAGCATTAGCTTTACTGAAAGGAGAAGTATACTCTTTGGCATTCCTGGTAAACTGGTACTTCTCTTGAAAAATCTGTTCTTATTTGTAATTAATTGTGGGACCAAAAGGTAATGATAAACATTTATTTTCATTTTTTGACATTGGTTTGAAATTTGACTCTAGAAACTTCATTTTCTTAAAGATAAATTTATCAACAACAGTAATAGATAGCTTGAACTATTTGGTATAAAGATGGACCCTAACCCTTTACCATAATTGATTAAAAGACACACTGAAATGTGGAAATAAGAAATTCAAAATAACGCATACCTCTGTGTTACTGTAGTAAGTACTCCATGCAGCCCTCAAGGACTGCTGACCTCCTAAGTCCCACATTATGAAATGTATGTTTTTCCATACAACTTCTTCCACATTGGAACCAATAGTGGGAGACGTATGCACAACTTCATTCATAAGGTACTGGTAGAGTATAGTAGTCTTTCCAGCATTATCAAGGCCAACCATTACAATTTTATGTTCTGAAATCCAATTTCTTACATTAATTCCTTATTTAATAAAATTAAATTTAAAAAGATCATCAAATTTGAGCAGTGATCATTCTTACGATATTGAATGAATTATCTTACCTTCATTACCAAATAAACTCCAAATTTTTGTGAATAACAACCCCATGTTTTGTCCTTGGTTATGAGAACACAATATGTTACACTTATTTTAATTCAGAAAGCCAACTAATGAGCTCGAGGAAATATTTGAGACTGAATACTACTGGAAAGTTTAATTATCTGACATCACTTTCACTTTTACAGTGTTTCAGTGGAGTGTGAAGAGTAATTTCACTACCATTTCATAAATTAATTCATTAGAGTAATGTTCCACATCTCGTGTGTAACAGATACACAAAATCTGATTCGAGATTTTTCACTATTGTAACACGGTCTAAAGAGCATTTACTAAACAAATCATTAAATAAAAGAAACAGATACATGTAATAAGTAGGCCATTTGTTAAACTCCGATTACCTCGGGAATAACACTATTACAAAGTGAACAACATTCAATCAGCGCGGTTCACAAATTTCACCTCGCAATCATAACGTAACGAGTGCTTATTCACGCTGGACACATCTAAATTGGATAGAAATTTGTCACAAAAACATCAATATTTACTTTCAAGTACACGTCAATCACAAAATCAGATCACCTTCCTTTCTCTGTTGCAGTCTGACGTCACAAGAACGACATATGTTGCTCTGAACAAATTTAAATCGATAGAACAAGAAATCGACAGGGCTCGAATGGAAAGTCGATGAAAAAGTTCGATTCTCTTCATTCGACTCGATCTATCACCCTACGTCGTCACCACAGGCACGTTTCGTTATAGTAGCCTATTATTTATGGTGAAACATTTAGAAATATATTGTTTATAAATGGTGTAATATTCTACCATACGTGTTTAATTTTTACATGAGTTTATGACTAAGGCCAACAAAATAGACATTCATGTTAGTTTCATAACCACATAAAAGTTCGAAGAAGGTTAACCGAATAATTTATTTAGTTTAAAAGGTGCGCAGAAATGAAGTTAACAATACAAGACCAAAAACAACGATAATACTTCATTAGTTTTTTTGTGTGTTAGCTGTTGATTTAAGTTAAATACATTACTGAATTTGTAATCATTGAGTGTGAGAAATATTTACCTCACGGGGAAAGTAGAAGGGTGAACATGGCAAGTGATGGATTGTACGAAGTGTATCCTTGATTTTACATTCTGAACAGCATTATGTACTTTGGGGTCCTTTCTTGAATGTTAAAATTGCCAATCAAGTTGATTTATGAGGTAGGCATTTGTAAATGCATTAATTTTATTGAAAACACTTTATTACAGCAGTTTTTGGGCAATTTACTTTCAGAAATTGCCATAAATATTGAACATCTTTATGTACTGAAATACATAATTATATTTGTAGAATGTTTCCATTTTGTTAAGTCCATATAACCTTGACTTAAACTGCAGCAATTTGTGTGTCCCTGTTACTTCAAAGAGAGAAGCTCAAATTTGTTATGATGTTTTGAGGGTTGATAGTGAACCACCAAGGAGCAAAGTTACGAAGAGTATCAGTTATGATAACAGTACATTATCTGTGTGAGTACTTTATTTGGTTCATGTTACTTTATGAAATTCAAGTGACAGTATTTCAATTAATTTTATTTTAATTATTTCAGTAAATTATCTTCAGGGGATCTCCGCCAATTGAGAGTATCTCTTACATCTTTTATGGAACACCTTCAGCTTGTTATCGAGACTTTACATGAATTTGGTCCTCCTTTTAGTGACCAGTACGATTTCTGCAAAGGTGTGACAAACCATCAATAATGCCTGAACATACTCCTGCTCCTACACCAAGTCGGTCCGTGTATGGATTTGTGTTATATTTATCATCATGGACAGCTTTTATTTTGTATGTCATTTGGGCGTTTGTCCCTGATAATGTTTTACACCTTGTAGGGGTGTCCTATCTGCCTCAGAAGTATTGGGCTGTAGCACTTCCCATTTATGTAGGAGTCAGTGTGGCTGTTTTTGTCTTTATTTATCCTGCTTTAAATTTGATGCTGACTCCTCCCTTTAATGACCTTAGAACCATTTGTGATTCCCATGCTGTTGATGTTAATGTCAAGCCCAAGCAAACTGGCATCCCACCAGTATCTGACATTCCCATTTCTGATGTATGCAAGCATTTGTATTTAAATAACTACTGAATTCATTGCAAAAATCAAATAAGTTTTGTTATAATTGAATATTTGTATCAATTTTTTTCAATAAACTTTTAAAATTAATTGTGTATTACTGGGAAGGGAACACAATGAAGAGAAGTCATGTATTTGTTTATACTTTAATTTCAATTGTAAGCAAAGTCTTCAAGAACAAATAAGTGTTCAAGAAAAGTTAAGCAGCTTTTGTAGTTTCTTGTTGTTCAAATTTGGGATATTTTTCTTCTACTTCTGCCCACGTTGTTTTACCAAATGAAAGATTTCTTACTACGTCTGGTAATTCATCCAACTGCAACAAAAATAAAATTTTATTAAAACTGAGGCTGAAACTTCATAGGAGGAAATAATAGCTCTAACTCCACATTGAACATAAAAGGTTTTACAACTGTGCGATTTTGAAATGTGAAAAGTTGTTGTAAAATTTATAACATCCCTTGTATTCTGGTATATTTATTAGAAATTTACAATAAGTGAATGTTAGTTATTAATGATATAGGGGGAAGGGAGCACAGCAAATTTGTAATGGCTTTGTGGAAAGGTGCCTTATTTAGTTTCTGATTAATCTGAATGGATATCATGTAAAATTTCATTGTCAGGATCTATCTTTAGACTAGATAAACAAGCTATTTTTAAAAAAGAAATTATATTTTATGCAATCAAGCCTAAAGCTAATCAGGTTCTTAGTTCATATGTATACATCAGGCACTACACTTTCGTCTAGTGGTATCAACATAGTATTCTCATAAGATTTCTAAGTTATGTAAAATGATAATTATATTGGATCTATTTCCTGGTGTAGTAAAACTCATTGGTACATTTTGCTATCCATGAGCTGGTTGGCCAGACGATTGGCTAATGTGGAGGGAGCAGCGATAGTGAACCTTGTTCTATATAAACCTGTGCGCAGTATATCTCCACACATTTTGCTCTGGGGAAGGCCACAGCATGACACCCTAAATTTTGGCATTGTGCCTAGAACACTGTCTCCAGGACAGCCAAGTACATATTAATTGCGCAACTGATGACAACATTCCAAATACATTTTTACTGGTGTGAAATATTAACTGTTGAAGACGAGAACTTCTGTCCATGATTTTCTCAAAAAACTCCAAAGAAATGACCAAAGGAGGTGAAGATCCACACAGAAGATACCTCGAATCCCTGAGAAAGTTGTGAAGACATGACTTACTCTCCAGAGATTGGCTTTGCATCATAAAATCTAGCGGCTGATTTCAGAACTAATACCCCCACTCTACCTGCATTTCTTCAATCCATCATTCAAGAAAAGTTGCACAAGTAATCAGAATAACTTCAGCCATGGAAGCCTACACTTTCATTTATGGAAGAGCATATAGGAGACTATATGCCCGTTTTAAGGAAGAGAAAGGTACAACAAAACAGATACTTAGATTTAAAAACATACTTGAAAAATACTAAAATATTGATTTCATTGTCCAATATCGATTTACACCTTCTTTTCATACATTTTAAGCAAACCTATGATAAAAGTTAAAAGTGGAAGTCTGTAGACAACTATGAAGTTGTTTGGAGCACCAAATAAATTGGTAAAGCTAAGCCAAATGTTGCAAATGCAAAGGAGAGGTAACAATTCAAAGGAAAAATATCTGAAAGCTTCGAGATAGGAATTGGCTTAAGATTAATAGAATTGTCAACTATTCTATTCAACCAAAAATTTTTAGAGGAACAAACAAAACCTCAAAAGGAACAAATATGACAGAATGGTACAAATTTTAGCCTATGTAGATCATGGTGTTGGTGGGAATAGCAACTAGAAATTATTAGAACGATTTCTAATTTTGGAGGGAGTAGCACCAGCAATGGGGTTAGAGATTAACAATAAAAAGAAAAAGTGTATGATACACATCCAAAATAAAGAAAGATGGGAAGCAATTAGACTGCTCACTATAAAAGAATAGTTTTGAAAGTTTAGAAGTTTGAAAATCTAGGTTCCATCATCACCAAAGGAAACAATATAACAACAAATTATGGCAATGAAAGCGAAGGGAGACAAATGCTATTATTTAATACTAATGATCCTGAAGAATTAATCTCTCTCAAGGGAAAATAAAAAGATTTACAAGTCAGTTACATGGTCAGTGGTCAAAAATGGGTCAGAAACTTGGATCTTAACAGCAAAAGACAGCAATATGTTGACAATATGGGAAAGATTTTTGGTCCTAAAAAGGATAGTGATCAGTGGAAAATTACAAATATTGTGTTCTAGAACAACTTTATAAAGCACCAAATATTGTTACAGATATAAAATGAGATTATGGTGGTAAGGCCACATTGAGAGAAAGGATGCTGAAAGGGTAGACAAACGGATATTAAAACAAGAACCAAGTGGAAGGAGGGTGTGATGACTGGGTGATGCTGAGGAGGCTTTAAGAGAAATGGGTGTAAGAAGACAGACAGAAAGAGTGGAAAACAGAAGAATGGAGGAATGTTGTGTAAGAGACTTTGGTTCTTAACGGACAACACAAAGGTCAAAGGAATGTTGGAAACTAAGAATTCAGAGGAACAAAGTTGTTCATGATATTCCTGTTAGAAACAGCAGTCTCAAAATGTGAATAAAATGCATGATTAATAAGAATATTGTCTTGTGTTCTGCCTCGTTTGTCAACCTTCAAACCTTTCTTTCGAAATCACCACTGCCAAGCCAAGAGTGCTCAAAGGGCATTGCAAAGTAGCTGCGATGCCAGTGAGGAGACTCGAGCTACAATCCCAAGGCACCCAGGCAATGAATGATATTGATGTACACATTAACACATGGAAATAAGGCATATGTTATCTCAATTAGAGCGTGAAAAGTATATTGAAAGGGGGAGAGGGGTATTTTCCAAAAATTGATAATTCCTTTAAAAATGTAACCAAACTGCTTAAGGTTTAAAAGAACGTTCCATGATAATCTTGTTTCTTTTCTCCTCCTAAATTTTTAAATTCAAACAAATTCCATAGCTAACCAACTTCCTAGAGACTTTACCAAAATATCCCAAATTGTCCTGACCTTGTCATAAAAAAATACATTTTGAATAGGAAACTTACTTCTCTGGGTTCCATGTTCTAAAAAGGACAGTACTTCACTCATTGTTAACTATGGAATTTTCCAGCCTGAATGTTTGTTCAGAACAAGTTTTCAAACCAAGATGAGATGCAAACTCATCAAGCCACAGACACAAAGAATATTTTCATGATGCGTTTTGTCAACACACTTGGTGAAGATGTTAGCATGATGTACTTACAGAAATTCGCACTTGTCCCATGGTATCTCTTTCTCGCAAAGTGGCTGAGTTGGGAGCTTTTAAGGAATCAAAGTCTATAGTTATTCCAAAGGGAATTGCAATTTCATCTGTCCGTGCATAACGCCTTCCTATTGAACCACTTGAATCGTCAACTTTGTGAGATACATCACATCGAGTTAATTCTTGAGCTGGAAACATTCAATTCATCAAAACTTCAACAATTCAAATACAAACTTGTGTGCACTTATATACAGCAAGCCATTAACATGCACTTACATAGTTTTTTGACGAAGGGTTGAAATTCGGGATTGCCACTCAGGGGTAGTACAGAACATTTCAAAGGCGCCACCACAGGAGGCAGAGAGAAGAACTACAAAGACCAAAATAAAATCATAAGAACAAAGAATACATCATTATCTACTGTATATACTCTAATACAACTCACATATTTTTTCAACAATTGCTAGTTGAAAATTGAGGTGAGGGTAATATTCAAGTCAATGTTAGTATCACGAACTTGAAGCGTGTTGCACATTGTCACATGGCGGTGTGGGTCATACTTCGGCTTTTATAACGTGGCGAGTCTGAGCCTATCTTCACAATGGAATGTCTCATGGTATTTCACGTCTAGCGACACGAAAGAGAAAGACTCGAAATGCCTGACAATGCCACTGTGAACACGGGACTAGAGGCGCAGCTTTATATCATTCGCACTCTAACCAGTGTTAATCGGCGGGCCTTTTAAGGGCAAACATTTTTGCAATAAAAGTGAAAAAATGTGAAAAAAGTTTTTTTTCCAATATTCCTTACCGAAAAATTAGAGCACGGGTAATATTCGAGAGCGGGTTATATTTGAGTATATATGGAATATTAATAATTCTCAATGCTTGCATAAATTTAAAGAAAACTGTGCAGCTTCAGGCCATATGAGAGGCGTTTCGTTAGATACAGCAAGATTTCTGGTGGGAAAATCCAAAAACAATGAAACAGTCTTCATTTGGTCTGAAAAATGCAAATACTATTTATATATCTTACTAGTCTCTCGGGCACTCACACACGTTACACATAGTTACATCCATTTATTCATGTAGCGTTTGCTCCAGATTTTTTAGCATCTATTTATTGGCAGGTTATATTCTGTTAAAATCAAAGAGATTTCAAACACCTGTTCATATGAAGTTGCATAAATAGCAGGGGCAAAAATCACATGCAAAATGCTTATGATTTGTTACACAAATTCTCACTATATGACAAAATGTGATAATCTTGGACCTCTCTACCTGCCACAGAAGTTTCCCACGTTTATTCTCACACACCATTACCAATAAATAACACATATTATTGTGATATTTGTGAAACATTTTTTGTTAAAATATTTAATTTATTATGGTGTTATACAAAAGCATTTATTTGTTGTTCTTGAGCACAGTGTGTGCTAATTTTTGGAAAACCATTTTGTGTGGTTTAGTTGAGCAGCATTTTTGTTGCCACAGGCCACATGCAGACTAAAATACTTAAAATATCAACTTACTGTTCTTTGTTCATCCCCTTCCCGCATCTTGAAATTGTGTTCAAATAAGGCATACATTATCCGGCCAATGCCAAAAGAGGGCTCGATGACACTTGGGATGATTTCTTCGACATGGACAGTTTTTTGGTGTGTTTGAACCGTAACCATGTCTTTTGTTAATGTATAATCTGCACCATTCAGTGACACTGTGTGCTCTCTGAAAGTACACAAACAGAAATTAGAGGTCGCTGGAAATTTAGATTGCTAGACTGACTAAACTATGACTAAAGGTTACAAAGAAGCTGGGAGATTGTCTGTTAGACAATCTCCCATTAAGTTTAGAATATTTTTGGAAGCATTGCCAAATAATAGTGGAGGTAGAGAATGGCTAGCTATATCCAACAAAAAGCCAATGTAATGGTAAAAATATGCAAACAATGAACGCAAAGGAAGAGGTTAACAATTCAAAGGAAAATATCTGTTACAAAGGCTTCCGATGAATTTAGGAAATTGGCTTAAGAGATTTGAATAGCAATTAAGTTGTTCAACTCTTGATTCTATTGAATCCAACCTCCAAAAATTTTAGAGGGAACCAGAACAAACACCCTACCAAAAAGAAACAAATATGGACAGAATGGTAACAGACCTTTCGCACCATAATTTTTAATGTCTCTACTCGCCTAAAGACTCATCGGTGTTGGTGGGACACTCAATCACACAACATAGAATTAATTTTATTCCACGACGATTTTCCTCTAAGTTTTTTTTGTGATAGGACGAGTGTCTTAGACAATCAGGCCACACTCGCTGGGGTTACAATTGAAGATTATGTCCGAAAGTAATCTTAAGAAAAAAGTTTGTATTTATGATCACTATCGTACTCTAGATCCAGAGAGGATTAGAAAGGAAACACAGATATTGGGGAGAGTCAATCTAGGACCTTCTGTCCCTCATTATGAGGCAGCACGAAACGTATTTTTAGGTTATCGTTGCGCCCTCTTGGTGCGGAAAGTATTTTGAAGCCCAGCTAATTCTGCGGCAAAATCTAAACTATTGGCTTTTCTTGCTCATCTCATTGCACACTCGTTGAGAGACAAGGCATGAACATCCGAGTCCTTGTAACACAACACGACCGATTCATGGCGGAACTTTTTGACCAGACCCACGCGACAGGGAAGACATAATCGCCGTGTTACTTATATTTCTTAATCTCACACTACAACCACCTGATATCCTCTGTATATAGATGGTATAGGATTGATGTATAATGCCACCTCTCTCCTCAAGGCGGAAGAGTAATAACAGACTTTAGCTCAAGTTCCCAGTTGCTTTCTCTATCTCTTACATACTGGGTCTATGGTATGGTTTCCCTAAATAATTCGGGCGCGTGCGCAGGAACTCTTAGTTGGAATCTGTCACACCATGCAAGAGTTACAGTCCAAATTATTGTTTGTTTGAAGAAATTATGGGTAATATGCAGATTTCTTTTTTTCGTTGTACCGTAGCCATTAAGAGTATAAGTGACTCAAAATAGATTCGGGATGACAAAATTTTTACCACAAACATCATTATAGTTGTGTTTCTAGAAGCACCTATCTTTTTATAAAGCAACACCCGAAAATATCTGGCGTTTCGCCTCCGTCCACAGGTGATATACATATTACCCGTCTGAGTATACTTAATCCGCGTGTCGGTAAGCCGGGGGCTGGTGCTGCGGCTGCCCTCCCGCCTCGTTGCGCCTCCCCCCCCTCACCTGCCAGAGCCGCACGTCCCCCCTCCAGGTGCCAGACGCCACTGCAAAGGCAAAGACAACGTGCGCTCAATCTGTGACCAGGCTGGCTGATGGCCAACGAAACTGGGATTCGCCAGCGTCGCCTCTTGATAAATCGAGGCGTTAGAGAACAGCATAACCGGTGACAGTTAGGTGGCGTTGACACACACAAGCACGCGACACCTCCATAAAGCTGGAAGAGGTTGTGGGCGGGCATAGGCACTCTGACCGTGAGTTGGCTTGGGAGCGAATAAGCCTCGGGGCGCTGGAGGCTCTCTAAGAGACAATTCGTGCGTGTACAGAAGACAGACAGAAAGAGTGGAAAACAGAAGAACTGGGAGGAATGTTTGTGGTAAGAGACCTTTTTTGGTTCTTTAAACTGGACAAACAACAAAGGTTCCAAAGGAAATGTTGGAAACTAAGAATTTCAGAGGAACAAAGTTTTTGTTCATGATTATTCCTGTTTAGAAACAGCCAGTGCCTCGCCAACTATAAGACTGCCCGCTCGACACTCTAAACCATTTGCACACCTGCAATCTCAACTACACGATACTTTGGTCTGTGTGACTTACCTTCCCCGCACCTCTCCGGCCCCTTCCGGCGGTTGGTCCTCTAACATCCTTCTTCAATTTACTCAAGGAGCTTTTCTTCTTGTATTGTGTCCGGGACCTATATTCTCTTACCCCTACGTGCCCGCCCTGGTGGCTTGCCCATTACGCGCTGCTTGCCTCTAGAGTAGTTGGTCTTCTATAAGCCGTGCCATTGCACAAGGTGTGTCTTCTGTTCGCGATTGGCGAGTGGGAGGAGACTTACTCGAGCTCTTTCACCTCGCTCCTGAATCGCCTCATTCTACTGGCCCCAATCCCTATGTTCGCGCTGTGCCGCTATATTACTGGTACCGACTGAGCGCTACCCGTTTTTAATTGCTTGACACACCCGTTTTATCCACCTTATGCGCAGTGCGTGCGATATTTACATTGGTTCAGCTGGCGCAATTGCCTAATTTTCGTTCCTACTTCCCTTATCCTCTTCTACTGTTCGCTTCCCCGTTTTATGCTTAATGCTAGAGCTCGTGACTGCATGTAAGTATAGTTTCATTAGAATTGCTATTGATTACTTAGGCGGGCTATTGGGGATGGTTTGCGATTCCTTCTCCGATCTTTACAAGATGCTGACGATTTACCATTCCCTTTTCCCCCCAATTCCTCACCGGCCTCAATAAATTCTTATTGTAACCCCACATTACGTGGGCTTACCACTGTGTTAGAGACAGGAAACATTTTTCCCACGTGCGATAAGGCCTGGTGTTTCGCTTGCTCCTCCCGCCCTTAGACAGTTCTCCTTTGAAAATGTTCAAGACAAACTTCCATAAGCTAACGCCAACGTCCGCTAGAAGAGCCTTTTAACAAAATATCCCACAGACCCTTGTGCCTGCACCGTTTCTCGGTGCTCCACCAATAAAAAGTAAGTACCATTTTCCTTGAATAGGACTGACCCTCTCACCCCTTCTCTTCCTGGGCTTGTTCCACTGTTTCTCAGAACAAGGACAGTATCGCCGGTACCTTCACTCATTTCGTGTGTCTCCTAAGCTTGTAGGAATGTCTGTGCCTGAACCGCCTGAATGTCGCCGCGTTCCCTTCCCTTGCCCTGTTCAGCAATCTTTTTCTGAAGTGTCCGCTTTTTGTCTTCTGTTCTCTCGCAAACGCGCAGAGATGCAGGGTGCCAACTCTTCAGTACACAGCCACAGAACAGCGACTAATAGGAAACGTCATTCTTTTTTTCTAGTGATGTCGCGATCTTGTGTGTGGCTGCGTGGTCCAAGCGTGGACGCGACTCTGCGTTGAAGCGTGAGTGTCCATAGCTCCGAGATGCCTCATGTTGTACGACTTCGTGAACAGGACAACGTTCTGCACCTTGGCGTCCCAGCTCTGGTTTTATCGCGTGCGTTCTTTGTCGCCTTCCTTTGTCAACGCAAAGGTGTGGCTGCCTGACGTTTGCATTGGGCTCAGCATTTTTTAACAGGAGAGCGCGAACCAGAGTCCTATGGAGTGCCGGTTATCTTTCGCAATGAGGTGTGATAGTTTTGGCAATGGCCCTCCGTCCCATCTTTGCTCCTGTTTGGGCGTGCCCATTAACGTCTCTGTGCGGCCTACGCTTTGAATTCCCACTTGATATTATCTGTCAACTCTCTTGTGAGATACATCCACATCGGTTAAGCTACTTCTGTTTTGAGCCTTGGACCAACCAATTCACATCAATCCAAAAACTCTCAACAATTCGGCAAATTACCATAATTGTTGTGCACTTACAGCATAATGCCAAGCACCATGCCATTAACTATTGCGCTACTTCTTTCATAGCTTCTTGTTTCTTGTTTGACTCGTAAGGTGTTTTGGGTGTAACCTAATTCGGGAACATTTGTGGCCAAACTCAGGGGTAGTTTTACAAGAACAATTTCAAAAGGCGCCACGCCGCTCTCACAGGCAGTGCGGCATAGAAAGTACGTAAGAAGCTCCACATGAGACAGGAACCTCCATACAACCCTAAAAATTTCATAAGAACAGAATAAAGACATACATCATCTATCTACTGTTAATTGAAGTACTCTAATACGACTCTGCACATCCACTATTTCATTTTTTTCAACAAATTGGGCTTAGTTGAGTCTGAGCGTGAGGGGTTATATTATTTCAAAGTCCACTTGTTTTAGTATTCGACGAACCGTATGGAACGCGTGTTTGCAACTCAATTGTCCAACACCTCATTGTGGCGGTGTGGGTTCATACTTCGCGGCTCGTTTATAAACTTGGCGCGAGTCTTTCAACATTCGCACAGCCTAGTGTCCGTGTCGTCCCGTTCCCACGAAATGCTGGAATGTCTCATCGGATATTTTCTCACGTCTGCTGTAGCCGAGACAAGCCTCGTAACAGAAAAGACACTCCGAAATGGCCCTGAAAATCGCCCCTGTGGTAATCGACCCTGAGGCCGAACTATCTTGCACTAGGCGCACAAGTGCTATTTTTAATTACTCATTTGTTCGCCGACTCTTACACACTCCGCGAGTGGTTCCTTGCTCTAATTACCGGGACGGGGGTGCGCCCTTTTAAGGGCAAATATCATTGTTATTAAATGCAATAAAATTAGAAAAACAAACTGTGGGGAAAAAAAGGTTTTTTTTTTTTCCAATATCATAACCTCTGTACCGAAAGAATTTTTCAGAAAGCACTTGGCTGGTGTAACCTCATTGCGATGAAGCGGGTCGTTGTGTGGATAATTTAAGGAGTATACTATCGGGTATGTAGTATTACAATCCACATAGGTGTCTTCAATGTTCTTATGCTAATTAAATCTTCTAAAGAACACACTGGTGCAAGCTTCCCAAACGGCCTATTATATCCGAAGAGACCAAGGGGTGTCTTCTTGTGGGTTCTTTTCTGTTTAGATACAGCAAGATTTTCTTGGTGGGAAAATCCAAAAAACAATGAAACAGTCTTCATTTTGGGTCTGAAAATGCAAATACTATTTATATATCTTCTAGTCACTCGGGCATAACGTACTTCCACACGACTGTAATACCGTAAGTTTACAATCATTTTATTCAATGTAGCGTTTTGCTCCAGATTTCTAGCATCTTATTTATTGCAATGCAATTTCCTTGGTCGGTTTTCTATATATCTCTTGTTCATAAATCAAAGAGACTTTCAAACAACCTGTTCATCATGATAGATTGCATAATAAGCAGGGGCAAAAATCATCATGCAAAAACCTGCTTTATGATTTTTGTTACACAATTCTCCAACTATATGACTAAATATTGTGATAATCTTGACAGCTCTCTACCTGCCACAGAACAGTCCCCGTTTTATTTCCTCACACACCATTACCAATTAAATAGACACATATTATTGTGAATATTTTGTGAAACATTTTTTGTTAAAAACTCAATTTACACTTTATTAGATTGGTGGTGCTAATCACAAAGCATTTTTTATTTGTTGTTCTGTAGAGCACAGTGTGGTCCCCTGCTAATTTTTTTTGGAAAACTCTATATTGTACTTTTCTGGTTGACGTTGGTTTTAGTTGAGGTCCTTTCCAGCTTGGCGGCCGCAATGTACTCCTGATATCCTATATCTTTATTAGTTGCCACACAGGCACATGCAGACTAAAAATTACTTCAAATATAATACTATACTTACTTTACTCGTTTTATATCTTTCTATGTTCATTCTACCCTTATTCCCATATGCATCTAATGAAAATTGTTTTGTTCAATAATATAGGTCATATAACATTTTCGTTGATCTCGGCAGAAACATTGTCCTAAGAGGACAATGTGTCTTCCGATATTGATGACACCTTTTTTGTCGTGATCCGTGATATTGTTTCTAACCTCGACCTATCGGACGATCCGTGCCTTGCGGCTGCCTGTGAGGTGACAGTCTTTTTTTTGGGTTGTTCCGGGCGTTTCTGAAACCGTCTATATGCACGCGATGTTCTTTTTTTGTTAATGTACTTAATTCTGCACTTCATTCAAGTGAGGCACTGTGTCGTGTGTGCGCCCATCGCTCTCTACAGGCAGTGTTAAAGAGTACACAAACAGAAATATTAGAGGTGTAAATGAATGGCACAGACTTTCTCTCCCACACATTTATTGCTGAGTTATTATGTCTATGTTGCCGAATTGGGGTCTCCATTGGTAGCAATAAGATTCAGAGGTGCCTGGGCTGCGTGCCCACCTGACTTGTGATGTCCGCACCAAGTGAAATTTTTTGGTTGGGTTTCCGGTAGGTGTTCTCAATTTCTTTTCTGCTTCCCGCCGCTAATTCACTCAGAAAGACGGAACATTTATTTCTTAATGAATAGCCCTTGAAGAAACACAATGCAGAACACAAACCATCTTTGCGAGCTGCCGTAAAATTTTTTTTGCGAGGGCCCGTTGTTTTTAAAGAACAAG